GCTAGGCTGCTGATCAACTGAACGCTGTCTCCGTGTCATTCCTTCTTCACCGACTCCGTCCACACCTTGGGGAACCCCTGGACCTGCTGGGGTTGGACCCCAGCAGAGAATTATTATTCAATGGTTATAAATTTTCAGTTATATAAGTTCCAGAGATCTGCTGTACAACATTGTACTTATAGTTTACAATGCTGTATTGTACACTTAAAATTTGTTAACAGGTAAATCTCATGTTAAGTTCTTACCACAATTTTAAAAAAGAAAGAATAATAGAAAATGAGATGTCCATAGCAATCTTTGAAAAGTTTAGACATATACTCCTGAGACTCTAGAAGGTAATGAATGTGTGCAGGGTTATGTGTATGCCCAGGAAAGTTAGGGCCTGAGAAGTCACTAATTCCTCATTTTTGGATGACCTTGAGGCTCTAAACAAGCAGAAAGTAATGTCTATGAAACAGCTGCAAACTATCTGCACTGAAAGAATGACCACCCCCGCCCCCCCACACACACACATACAACCATGACAAAGGCTGGTAGGTTTTTTGGTTCAAGGCATTTAAGGAAAACTCTCTCCAAGCAGACCACTATGCTAACTGAACAGAGACTTTGGTGGCTGCACATGAGAAAGAATTCAAAATTTACAGAATTGGCCCAGTAAAGTCATCAAACAAATAAACAGCAACAACAACAAAATCTGGGTGGGGGGTATTGACTGATTTTCAGAGTTGTCACATTCTATTATTTTAAACTAGTGCCCCGGTGCACAGATTCGTGCACATTGAAATAGAACACTCTATTGAATGATGCCAATAAACCTGACATGAGTCAAAGGTCAGCAAACTACTGCCAGCGGGCAAGGCTAGTCGGCCACCAGTTTTGTAAATAAAGTTTTATTGGAACACAGCCATGCCCATTTGTTTACATACTTTCTATGGCTGCTTTTCTGCTACAAGGCAGAATAGCTGATACAGAGATCCAACATGTCACATCCATCCACCATATCTGTTCTGCGGGTATAAAACAAGTCATGTAAAATCTTTTGAACTTATCACAAAAAAGCCAGTTCTACACCTAGAGCAACAGGCTTGTTACTATTTGTCCCGTGGTTAGTATGCAGCCTCCATGGAGTCACAGGAGGTCGCATTCAGCCCCACAGTGGGGTTACAATGCCTTTGGGTATCTACACTAATAAAAGAGAAACATGGTAATTGGCGTACGACCGCTACCCTTCCCATTGGCTAATCAGCGAGATATGCAAATTAACTGTCAGCCAAGATGGCGGCCGGCAGCCAGGCAGCTGATGCGAACAGGGAGGCTTGCTTCCTTCAGTGACAGAGGACTCCAACGTTCCCCGCCTGCCTTGCCGGCCTCTGAGCTTCAGTTGGAAACATTGTAACATTTATAGAAGATAAACAAAACCCCAGAAACCTCCTGTCAGTCAGCCGGGATCTCAGAGCTGGAGTCGCAACATTGTTTCGAATACAGAAAACAAAGGCCAGAAACCTGCTTTCAGCAGCCGAGCCTCAGAGAGAAAGCCGGCTCTCAGCTCCAGTGACAGCCATAGAAGGTAAATAAATGCCAGAATAAAAAAAAAAAGAAAAAAAGGAGAGGTTTGGAGCTTCAGTCGCCCGCCAGCCTGAAAACGGCCCTCAGCCCCTCACCCAGACTGGCCAGGCACCCCAGTGGAGACTCCCACCCTGAAGGGTGTGTGACCAGCTGCAAACAGCCATCATCCCCTCACCCAGGCTGGCCAGGCACCCCAGTGGGGACCCCCACCCTGAAGCAACAAGATGGCGGCTAATTTGCATACTGAAGGCAGGCGGCAGCAGGCAAGGCTGTCTGCGGTCTGGGACCCGGATCTGTGACCCTGCCAGGCGGGGGCAGTGCTTGAGGCTGTCCGCAGTCTGGCACCTGGATCCATGTTCTCACGAGTGGGGCGGCAATGCTTGAGGCTGTCCGCGGTCCCAGGACCTGGATCTGTGACCCTGCCGGGTGGGATCAGC